CTGTTGTTTAGTTGTATTTATATATATATATAAACCAGAGGGTAGTAACCAGACCTGTACCTCTGCCATACGTTCAGTCACTTACACACCACAAATTGTTGTGTGTTGCTAACCTTTTTGTACCCCCCTACATTGAGAACTCTATGGAGCGCTATTTCAACATAATAGATATACTTTTGGTGCGCGATTTCAACCACTTTTATGAGGCGCGATGATGCGCGTACCATGGGACAATTTCGGGTGCGCGGTGGAGCGCGAGCGCGATCGCGCCCCTTAAAAATGAAAGCCTGGTAGCTCCACCCCCATAACCGACCCAACTTCTAATATCAATCGATTACTATACTGTAACCCCAGGGTTCTCCCCAAGATGAAATTCAAACAGGGGGGGAGGGGATGGGGTAGGGGGAGGGGGGAGGGGCGGGACTAGGGGGGAGGGGGAGGGGGGAAACTAGGGGGGTCCGGGGGGCGTGTATTTTTACCGTACGACTAATTAATGCGTAAAATCGCCACCACACCATAGACGGTATTTGGAGTTCTTGTATATAATAAGATAGCCGAGTCGGTGTACAGTTAGTTACAGGTTAACTGTGCATTGTCAGGTTAACTTTTGTGCTGTCTGCAGTGCATGCCGCATGCGTGGTACGGTAAAAATACACGCGTAGGGTGTCCTGGTCGAACGGCAATTCTTGACGGTCGATTCCCGCGCTGGCAAACTTTTATTGTGGTGGAATTCAAACGGGGCGGAGGTAATTCAAACGGGGCGCAACGATTCAAACAGGGGGGAGTTTTCCCAAACGGGGCGCGCGCGCCCCGTTTGCGCAACGTAGGGAGAACCCTGAACCCTGTTTAAATTTTGCTGTTTTTATCGAGTAAACTGAAGGGATGTCTTTATTTTAGCTGGCTGTTTAAATGTTGCTGTTTTTATGGAGTAAACTGAAGGGATGTCTTCATGTCCGCAAATTTAAAAAGGGTAAAATTGAGATCTTTTAGGAAATTTTACCAGAACCGCAAAAAAACCAGCCACAAATATTTACCGGTTTACAATATGCCACAGTCGACTTTGGCCAAACTTTCAACTCCGTGCGGAGCACGGGTATTTGCTAGTTATTAGTAATAGTATAGTAAATAGTAGTAATACTAATACGCACAAAATGAAATGTGTGTAGGGCCTAGTGATTCTAAGTGTCAACAAGGTAGAAAGCTAAAACTAAAGAATATCTACCAATTTTTTCAGATGTTCCGCTTGACCTTTGTGGTAGTCAAGCTTTCCCAACTGCGTGGGTCTGTACTTGTCCACCCACAAGCTCATAATTAGTTATATAATTTAAGAAAATTTCATATAATATGATCTGTTATAATCGTGTAGTAAACACGAAAATTGGTCTTCAGTTCGCGCCCTTATAGTGGCGACATCTATGGCCTAAACGTAAATTTCCGAATGAAGCCGATTATAGCCGAACATCGTTGACCAAAGTTTCAACCTAATTTGCATAGCGGTAACGCGTCCGTGACGTCCGAATCATCCGATGTCAGCCAGGCAGCTGATTGGTCGCCGTCGCGTGGTCTCATACTGTAGATGCGAAGATGGAGAAGGATAGTGACTGGCCGAGTTACTTAGGTCCATTACCTGACCTAGGACATGGTTTATGTAGCATTAACGAGATGGATTCTACAAAGATAAATGATATCGATGATGGTAAGTCGTGATAATGTAAAAATCGTACGTAATTATTTAAGGCGTTTACCGAGTAAATGTGTTCATTGGAATCACTCACTGTTTACGTTGATAATGTACGTATGTTTTCAACGCTAAACCAAAACTTTCGGTCATGATATATATTCTAACCCACCAGATATCAATAGTATTATTAAGACTTTCAACTAATAATACTAATAGTAACACGGTCACTGGTGTTGGTACAATGGTAGATGAATCAATGTTTTGAATTAACTCGTACGTTGATAAGATTAAGAATTAAGAATAAGATAAGGCGAGGGAACCCTAATCTTCTGGGCACTTGACACTTAATAATAATAGTAATACTAATACTAGTAGTAGGGATACTGGTCGAAAAATTTCTAGATAAGGCTCAGCCAGTAGATTACAGTGATACTTGAATTGTCATGATTGGTTTATGGGTTTAGGAGCTATCGTGATTTGTAGTAGTAGTAGTAGTAGTAATGTACTTATATGCGGTTACTGTGCTGTTATCTCTAGTTACTAATACTATTACTAGTATATGTTGTACTATATTTACAGATTCAGCTGTATCGGGCGATCTTGAACAGCAGTTGTTTGAGTTTGTGTCTGACAGTGGACTTGATCTAAATTCCTTACTGAATGACACCAGTGGAAGTCTACTTGATGTCAGCGATGTGTCAAGCTATATTCAGGCTAACCAGATCAAAAGTGAGCCTGACATGTCACCAAAGTCATGCCCCAACCTCGGTGTGGCGATGCCAGCAGAGGAACTGCTGCTTGGCAACACAACCATGCCGACCCCGAACACGGATAACGTCGACATTAGCATGGTTGACACAAGTATGCTGTTCCCATCGCCGCCGCCAGATGAGGAGAAGCCTGCGGCCAAAGTCCAGACAACAGTACTGGTGTCTCCTAGTCGGCAGCAGCTGCTGCAGCAGCTTCAGCAGCTTGGTGTTCAGCAGCTGGGAGTTCAGCAGCTGGGAGTTCAGCAGCAAGCTCAGGTAAGTGTCAAAGGCATACGAGACAGAGAGAGTGAGAGAGGGGGGCAGAAAGAGGCAGAGAGGCACAGAGTGGGGTGGGGAGGGGAGAGAATAAATATATTGAGATCCTGACTCAGGGATTATAGCCAGATTATCATTTAGAGATAGTGTGGTGTTTCCTTGCTGGATATAGAGAGTAATATATATATGCATTTTTTATATTATACACAGCAGGTTTCCGTGCATACAATCCCACATCATGCAGGTGCACAGCTGGTATTAAATTCAGTACAACAGTTGCCGGTTGCAGTACAACAGAATAATATTCTGCAACAGCTGAAACAACTGCCTCCCCATCAGCTCCAACAGGTGAGGTGATAGTTAATTCTAATTTCTATTTAAATGAAAAGTGGAATTTGGATTTACTATTCTTTCGTAGGGTTATAGTTTGTAATAGCCTGTTTCCCTAGATTCTTGATTCAGTGTATCTTTCATCCTGACAGCTGCTAGTGAGATCCCAGGTGGTAAAGACTGAACAAAGCCCATTGACACAGCGTGCAAATATTGTCACTTACACTGCACCAGTGACACTGACCACATCCATTGCCCAGCCTGTCCAACAAACCATGGCAGTCAGCACCAATAGTGGCCATATATTGACGAGCAATGGACAGATAGTAACGACCACTGTTCCAACGTTTGTTGTGGATGCTGACAAGCTGCCGATTAATCGAATCCAGCCATCAAAGCGCCCAGTAAGTACTATGAATAATTTAGATAGTATTAGTTGAATAATGGTAAAATTTCACATAATTTTAAACTGTAAATTGTGGAATTTTAAATTTCACTGTAAAAGTGTGGTGGTTATATATTCAGTATAATTATGTTATATTATATATTATATGTTTAGTTATTTTAGTGTGATTGTACGTACTTCTTGCTGTCATAACAGTAATGATTTTTGCTTCCTAAAGGTGTCTCCACTGCCCTCAAAGGGGGAGAAGCGTACTGCGCATAATGCGATCGAACGTCGTTACAGGACAAGCATCAATGATAAGATAATTGAGTTGAAAAATCTGGTCGCTGGTACTGAAGCCAAGGTAAACAGACTATGTGATCGTAGCTCCTTTATTGTAACTGAAAGGGTCAAGTACTCCCTAGTACTTCCTCATAGTTATTGTTTACGGGGTACAAATCTCACGGCGCAGGCAACTTGGGGCAAATTTACTAATTTTGGGGTGCTTTTCGTGATGTTGAAGTTGCCTTTTTTTCAGCTGAACAAGTCTTCAGTGCTGCGCAAGGCAATCGACTACATCCGCTTTTTACAGCAAACCAATCAGAAGCTGAAGCAGGAGAACATGGCTTTGAAAATGTTGTCAACCCCACAAAGTAAGTTTGGAACAGTACAACGTGATGTAGGTGAAGAGTGATGGGCGGATTGAGACTTTAGTTAATGCCAGAAAAGTTTTACGTTGGTAGACACCATCAGGACTTTATGTAAAGTCCTGGGAGCCGTTGCCAGAAACATCGTAAAGTTAATGCTAATGTTAATGCTAAGATAACACTTACGACTAATGTTAATGTTACGAGAGGAGCGTTGACAGAAACACATCGCAGCTATTAGAAAACTTACGATAACAGGAACTTCATTACAAGGCTGCTGATTGGATGAGAATCGATCACAAAATTCAAATTCATACACATTTATTGTACATCACAGTAATTTATGCATATTATCAAGAGCTAATAATACCTAGAGTGTACAACGGAAAAACGGGAAAATAGTGCTATTTCACGACTACATTATTCTACTTTGCCTGCGAGTATATCGGCTCCTAAACCTCCCCTCCCACATGCCTTACGCCGCTTCGCATCCACTTTATTCAGCTACCTACACGCGTCTAAGCATTTTGGCTATCGGTTTCCGTCACCGCTTGGAGCCCTGATAATTGATGTCACATGCCCAAATTTGGTACTCTTACTACACCATATAGTAACTGAGCTGCGTTGTAAAAACTTGACGGAGCCGGCTCCATCATGACGGGCATTAGCCGTGCTAGGAAAGATAATGGAAGATAAGGGCATAGGCGATGCCCCCGAAAGTCACCTATGATAACCGAAGCACCGTTCATTCATAAAGTTATCGCGGAAAAACCGAACTTTCACGAAGCAATGCTTAGACGCGTGCTGAATAAAGTGGATGCGAAGCGGCGCAAGGCATGTGGGAGGGGAGGTTTAGTAGCCGATATCTCCGCCTAGGAGTATCGTATTGACAAGCGGTTGGTCTTGTTGTAGAGAGCAAGGAATTCTGCTTAATGCAATACCATGAAATTATTCTAGACTCGCAGGCAAAGTAGAATAATGTAGTCGTGAAATAGCACTATTTTCCCGTTGTTCCGTTGTACACTCTAGGTATTATTAGCTCTTGATATTATGATGGCTAACCACATACAAATAATATTTGATGAAAAACGACGCAGTCATGAATTTATTCTATACAACAAGACAAATTCTCACACTGTAACACGAGACGCGAGAGTCGTGGCAAGCGTGGCAAACATTTAATACGCTGCCGTGAGTTAGAGCGGGCCGCGCAGGTTTCTGTTTCTGTTGTAGTACGTTGCAGTATCCAAAATTGGCATCGAGGCAACTGAATCGGGAGAGGGCTAATTATTTTAGAATTGATGTTGGCTGAGCTTAGATATCATGTAAATGTTAATTCAAGTGTGAAAATTGACTGCATTGCAGTAGCGCGAATTGTCCATGGAAATTTCCGATGAGGTGATGCAAATCTGATTGCTATGATGCAGATGGGAGATCGATCATAGGCCTACTACATGCGTTATTATGGTGAAATATTAGCTCTAGTAACTATAGCGGCATAGCCCGCGTACAGTTGCCGCAGGCCTGCGGCAACTGTACGCGGGCTATAGTTACTAGAGCTAGTGAAATATTAATTTAGTGAGTTTATTAAGATGAATTTAAAGCAGATTTTCTTCTTATTATTTTTTTTCAGAGTTTTTATTTAATTAAATTTCGTTTTTTGTCATTTTTGGAGGTTTTTTTCACTTTTTTTTCAAAACTGCGTTTTCCGTGATTCACGTAAATTCTGCGATTTTCGCGGATATTCCGCAACGCGGAAAACTTTGGACTTTAGTCTAGACATTGAACAAAAAAAATTTGTTGCCCGAACGGGCAAGTGCAATTTCAAGCTACTTTCCCGGGGGCGAATTTTGGGTGCCCCGGGCCATCGGGCAAGCAGGTTTGTCGCGCCCTGCATACGCCATTTGTAAATGTTTTGTTTTGTTTTATGATCGGTAGATAATTAATGATTTTGACGTGTTTTTCAAGAAAAACATTTTATTCATTATTATAAAATATAATATCACTATAATTGTAATTCGTAGTGTAAATGTGTTATTTTCAACTTGATATTAAAGTTACGAGAGGGTCTGGGCTCACGTAATGTTAGGAGGATATTTTCGAAGATTTTTCATTCTAGTAACTTTGCGATGTTTCTGTCAACGGTTACGAGTGGAAGTTAATGTTAATACTAATGTTAAAGGGACTACGTCACGAATTTTCTATGGTAAAATGTGTAAAAAAAAATTGCCATTTTTTTACATTAAAAGTAAGAACTAACGTTACTAAATATATCCTCAAACTCTCACCTGATAAAAATGTTTTTACGTTGGTTAAATTTGCAAAAATCTATACGATTTGGTAATTTCTGTTGTCTAACACTATTCCCCCAGTACTGTTCGGATACTGGCGTCTCTCTGTTTTTTACCGGCAAATTAGGGCATAGAAAGAAGGTATATAAGCATAAAAAGTAAACAGAAACACTAATTGTATTTTCATACATTTTGTTTTGTACAAATAACACACAAATGTACTACTTGATGGTGCTAGAAATTCGTGACGTAATCACTTTAAGGCTAATTTTGTTTCTGACAACGGCCCCAGGCACATAGTGAAGCTAGATTATGTTCCGTAGTCGGCACTGCAGACTTTATGGCTTTTATTTGCATGACCTTACATATCGTCACTCTTGTAGATGTTGAGGGTCTGCTGACATTATCTCAAAACCTACCTGTCACCATCAAGCCGGATTTACCAGTCGGCTTCGACACACCACCGAATAGTGACAATGGCTCTACGGGTCTGCCTTCACCACCAGACTCAGGAGATAGTTGTTCAGAGCCAGGTAAGCCTGACGTGCGCCATAGCCGAGCCAACCCTTTGGAGAAATATCTACACTTTATAAATGTCACCACTTACAGCTCGGCAAGTTTTGAACCTCTAACCTGGCAGTGAATGCTTGAGACCGTGCTCCAGTCTTGTCGTGTAGCTAAATGTGTTTCCGTCATAGTATCCCAGACGTGTCTATGTATTTTAACCCCACACATTTCAGACGTGAAATCGTGCCGTTATTTAGTCGTGCGGCTGAATGTCCGTTCCTTTGTGAAATCGCAGGCTCGCCGTTGCGTTACCACGTGAACAAAGGCATGATGGACGATGGGGTGGGCGTGACGGCGAAGGGGATGCTGGACCGCTCGCGCATGGCACTGTGCATCTTCATGTTCACTGTGCTTGCCTTCAATCCGTTCGGCAAGCTGCTGAATGTCGGTGCCGAGAACGATCAGTACAGAGGCGCCGGCGGTGGACGCCGTCTCGCTGCCGTGGACATGAGTTACAGTGAGTTTACAGTCGCTCTTAACGTGCGCTCATTTCTGTATTTTATTGGGTATTTGGCCATTTGGTAGCTACCAGTGTTATTGGGGTCACAGGGTGGTTCACTGTTGTGAGTTTGCCACAATTTAAACACCTAATTTGTTTTGTGCCTTGTTGTTGTATTGTATTATAATTATTGTATTGTGAACGTATTTGGCCATTTGGTAGCTACCAGTGTTATTGGGGGCACAGGGTGGTTCACTGTTGTGAGTTTGCCACAATTTAAACACCTAATTTGTTTTGTGCCTTGTTGTTGTATTGTATTATAATTATTGTATTGTGAACGTATTTGGCCATTTGGTAGCTACCAGTGTTATTGGGGGCACAGGGTGGTTCACTGTTGTGAGTTTGCCACAATTTAAACACCTAATTTGTTTTGTGCCTTGTTGTTGTATTGTATTATAATTATTGTGTTGTGAACGTATTTGGCCATTTGATAACTGTCAGTGTTATTGGGGCAGTTCACTGCTGTGAAATTGCCACGATTTAAACGCCTTATTTGTTTTGTGTGTTGTTGTTGTTGTTGTTGTTGTTGTTGTGGTTGTGCAGTGGGATTAGGCAGGACTTTCTC